TGAGTCCACCTCTCTCGCGGAAGTCTTGCATAATTTTAAGCTTTACCCTTGGTTTTTTCCCTGCCCAAATAAATTTATTAATGTCTTTCTGCCATTCATTTAAATTAACCTCATTCTTTAAAATAGGTAACATTTGAAATAAAAAGAGGAATTTTGGCAGGACATTCATTTTAATCACTGCAATTCTTCCCATAAGAGATAACTGTAGCTTCTCCCAATTCTTCAAATCTTTCTGTACCCTGACCCACAGCCTTTCATAATTGTTTTTATATAATTTTACATTAGAAATAGATAAAGTGACCCCCAAATATTTTATCTTATCAACAACTTCAAAGTCTGTCAGATTAACCAAAGTCTGCTTGTCCAGATTGGTCATGTTTTTAGATAATATTTTAGTCTTATTATTATTAATTTTAAAACCCGAAACCCGTCCATATTGATAAATCAGTTGTAATAACTTTACTACAGAATAGGTAGGTTGAGACAAAGTAACCACTAAGTCATCTGCAAAAGCTCTTAATTTATATTCTTTTTTGTTAATTTCTATTCCTTTTATTTCCTGCGACTCTCGAATTTTAATCAACAAAATTTCCAAAGTTAAAACAAACAGTAACGGTGACAATGGACATCCCTGTCTTGTACCTTTTTCTATTGTAAAAACCTCTGACAAACCCCCATTAACAATAAGTTGTGCCGTTTGTTTTTGATATATAGCACCAAAAGCTTGTAATATTTTTTCTCCAAAATTCATTTCCTCAATTAATCTTAACATAAACTGCCAATTCAATTGGTCAAAAGCTTTTTCAGCATCTAAAAATATCAGCCCTGCAGAAATTTGGTTATTCTTATCTAAATATTCCAATAAGTTAATAATTTGTCTAACATTATTCTTCATATACCTACCAGTTATAAAACCCGATTGATCCTTATGTATAAGCTGATGCAAAACCCTCATAAGCCTATTAGCTAAAATTTTAGCAAAAATCTTATAATCTACATTTAAAAGAGATATGGGCCTATAATTCTTTGGTAAAGTGAGATCTTGATCCTCTTTTGGAATCAAGGATATAAAAGCACTGCGCCATGACGGAGGAATCTCTGAGCCCTGTAATATATTATTAAAAAACTCACATAAAGGTTGGATCATCTCTTCAACCAAGGTTTTATAATAAATAGATGTCAAACCATCCGTACCCGGCGCTTTACCTAATTTTAATTGCTTAATAACTGTCACAATTTCCTCATTGGTAATTAAACCATTAATTTCTTGTTTCTGATCTTCTGTTAGTTTAGGGAAGTTGGCCTCACTTAAGTAATTATTTATATCTAAAATTTGTATCTTGGTACTCTTATATAATTTTTGATAATAATTTAAAAAAGATTTCTTGATCAACTCCTTCTGATACACTAATTTACCATTATAATTTATTTTATCTATAATTCTCTGTCTCTGTTTCTTTCTTAATTGGTAAGCCAGCCATCTCCCTGGTTTGTTAGCATTACAAAATGTATTTTGTTTCATAAACAATAAATTAGTTGCGGTTTGATCAGCCATCAACATGTTAAATTGTGTTTTTAGCAACTTTATAGATTCTTTAACCTTTTCATCTGTAGGATTTAGAATCAAAGACTTTTCTTTTAATTTAATCTCATCTTCCAGTTCCTTACGTTTCTGGATCTGCTTTTGTCTATGGACATTATTCATTTTTATCAGAATCCCACGCATGAAAGCTTTACCTGCATCCCATACCATTGGTATTGAGGTTCCCTTATGCATGTTTAAAACAAAATAATCCTTTAAGCACTCCTTTAATTTTTGAACATTCCTTTCTTGTCTAAATAAATTCTCATTCACCCTCCACGATCTCCTCTCCTCTTTTTCATCAGCCAGTTCCATCCAAACTGGACTATGATCCGTCAACGACCTAGGAAAATTTTTTACATTCTTTACCCTAGTATATAAGTCAGTTGTAATCAAGAAAAAGTCAATTCTTGAAAAAGATTGATGTCTATCTGAGAAGAAGGTAAAGTCTCTCTCCTCCTGGTTACGTTCACGCCAATAATCTCTCAGCTCCCAGTCCTCTTTCAGATCAAAAAAAGCTTTGGGTAATTTAGCCTGTTTGAAAAAAGTAGAAGATCCTTTTTTGTCCCTTTGTATATCTAAAACACCATTCCAATCTCCCATTAATATCACAGATCTATAGTCCAACGAACTTAATTTCTGATGTAACAATCTATAAAATTGTTCCTGTTGTTGGTACAGTCCCACTATAAGTATTTTCTTACCATATAAACCAAGTTCAATCATAACATATCTTCCTTGAGGATTTGATTCTACCAGACAGACTGGTAGACTTTGCTTAACATAGATAACCACACCCCCTTTTTTCCCAGGGGCAGGAGATACAAAATGAGATCCCAGACGAGCATTGACTAAATATTTTTGATCTTTAAGTAAAATATGAGTTTCCTGCAAGCAAATAATATCATTGTTATGTTGCTTTAAGTAATAAAAAAATTTCTTTCTCTTCTGAGGGGAGTTAAGGCCGTTAACATTCCAGGTCAGGAACTTTGCCATCTCCCTTGACCAGAAGCCTGGAGAAGACTACCTGAAGATCTGCCATTGAAGAATGTGTTGCAGAACTCTTGGGTCTTGCTCCTCCCACCGGCAACGAGACACTTTCATGAGAAGATTCTTTGACTTCTTTCTTCTGTTGTTCCTTTTCCTTGCATCTATGTGCTGCACGAGTCATTCTTTGCTCTTTGACCTCTATTTGGCGCGACCATTCAACCTGTGGCTTTCCAGCAACCATCAGACCTAATCCTTCAGACTGCTGTTCCACCTCTTTGCCACCCAGAGCTTTCTGAATCATAGATGAAGATGAGCCTGCTCCCAGGACCGAATTGTAAAACTCTTTGGCTTTAGTAACCGTGTTAAGTCTATAACGTGTCCCCGCATGGCTCAAAACAATACCCATCGGAATCTCCCATCTGAATGGCATCAGTCTTGTTTTAAGTTCATTAGCTAGAAAGGCAAAGTCTTTTCTATTTCTTAAAATTTTAGATGGGATTTCCTTTAAGATAATGACATCTTGGGCAGCAATCTGGAATCTCTTATTATAAAAAGCTTGTATGATTTCATTACGCAGAGATCTCTTTGCAAAGTAGATCACCACATCGCTTGGCAGATTCTTTTGTTTCGCAACCCAGGAGTTAACTCTGTATATTTTTTCCACTTCTCTACGTAATCCATCTTTATCCCTATTCAGAACAACAGCAAAGTCATTAACCACCATCTTTGTCAAATCTTGATTCATATCTTCTTTCAGACCCCTAATTCTCAGACCATATTCCATTTCCCTATACTGAGACATAAGAATATCCTCTTGTGAAGTTTCCATCTTTTTTTCCATATCTTGGAATTTATCTTCGAGGAGGTCTACTTTGTCTGCAACCTCTTCCACTCTGGAGTCCAACTTCTCGACCACAGAGGCCAATCCTGATAAAGCTGTTACTATGTCTTGCCTCAAAATAGTATTGTTCTCCACTAAAAGCTCCTTCATTTCCTCTTTACTTTCAGATTTATTCTGTTTAAGAAGGTCCTTCATTTCCTCTTTGCTTTCAGATTTATTCTGTTTGAGAAGGTCCTTCATTTCCTATTTACTTTCAGATTTGTTCTGTTCAAGAAGTTGCTTCATTTCCTCTCTAATTTGGGATACAGCATTTCCCATTATATCTTTGATATCTTGTACAGATAACCCTGGCAGAGGAGGAGAAGGTGGAGGTGTAACTTTAGGTTGCAGTACTGATGGTGTGGCTTTAAGTTGTTGTTGTACTGTTAGGATTGCAGGAGAGGAAGCCACCTTAGAAACTATAGAAGCTGGTTGCCTCTTTGAAGCCATTTTTCAAAATCTTATTCTCTCTTTCTTCCTTCTTAAAAAAAAGAAAAAGTACTAAAATCCTTAAAATTTAAAAGAAAAAACCAGGGAGAGTGCGAGAAAAGAACTTCAAAACCTCAAAAGAAAAAGAAAGCTTAAAAGAGAGGCCTTTGTAATCTTTATCATAACAGCTGTTCAGTTAGCCAAGATTAGTGAGCTATCATTTCTCCTCTTTATTGCCCAGCATTGAGAATGTGAGGAGGAAACAGATAGAAATGAGGAGCAAGAAGTGAATAAAATCTTTACTTTGATTGTGTGTGCATGCTTGTGCTGTAGTATGTGACACTATTATGCAGGCTGGTGATAGAAAGCATACTTCACCAATTTTTAAATTTCTAATGTGCCAATGAAACAGATTAGTTTCAGATTTTCCAAGATTACCAAGGAAGACTTATGAATGATAGGGTACCTGGCTCTCTAGTTTATATGAAGCCACATACTTAGAAATGACATTAGATAATTGATTTGCTTACTGACTTCCATTCTCAATCTACTCTTATTTGGAGGAAATGTAAGTAGACAGAGTTTTATGAGACTGTATAATGCTGCTGAAGGTGAGATCAACTTGATCAACAGTAAAATCGCCATAAATAAACTTGGTTGTTTAACGGGTTCATCATTTTCAAAACAGCATTCCTAGATCTCTGTCTCCCAAGTTTTTCCTTACTTTTCACACAGTTGGTATTGTTAATGCACTGGGGGGGGGCAGTGGTTTTTCATTTTGAGAGTTCACTATTTAATTATTCTATTGCATATATATTTTCATTCTGATTTTAAATGGCATGGCAAACTACCCTAGCATAAATGTTTATCATGGGAAAATTGACATGTTTTTCAAAACATATAATGTTCAAAGAGACATCAGTTACAATGGCAAATTTAAGACAATAGAGAACATTGGCTAAATCAAGCCAGGGAGGATGGACATGGACAATATTTCATAATTTGATAAAGTATAGCAGCTTCCATCTCATTGTGTCATAATACAGTCAGTAAATCTGAACCATAATTGTGCAATATCAAGGAATGCCATTAGAAAAAAAGATAAAAATATATTCTTACTTTCATCTTTTATGTATGCATCCCAGTCAAATGGAGTATTATTCAATGTACCGTTTTCTCCAAATGTAGTATTAAATAGATCAGTATCATTAGAATCTGTAGAATTTGGTGGATTCCAATACAAACATTTATGCCTCAAGTTGCCCATGAACAGTTGGAGTCCTATGAGAGCAAAGACACTCAGACAAAACACTGTCAGAATCATCACATCGGATAGTTTCTTCACAGACTGAATGAGAGCTCCCACAATTGTCTTCAGACCTGGAAGCAGAAGAACATCTTGAGAACAACTGAAAAGACAGATGGAAAAACAACAAAATGGTGATCCCAGTAATGTTAAAGAAACCCTCATGCAGAAGCTCAAATCAATGGCCCTGTTGGTTTGTGAACTAATATTTTAAATGGTTTGTCACTTGTGACAATGTATTTTGTGAGGATGAGGCCCAGAAGTTTATGCTCCTTGAAACTGTGGATGAAAATGTATTGTGCTTCATTAAAAGAAGAATAACTTGTTTTAATGATAAAACAAGTGCGTGTGCTATCATGCTTTTCCCTCACAGAGGAAATTTTCCAATCACACTAAGCCTAAGCACGTTGCATCAAAATAAGGGCTATAGCTATCAATGAAGCTTGCTCCAGCATAAACATGTTTAGGCATATGGATTGGAATGGATTAATGGCTTTTTTTAACTGCCAACTTCTCTTGCCCCAAACCATCAGATTTATAACATCTTATTCTTCCCTTGAATCAAATTAAGGTAGAAAAAATGGAATTGGAAAAATAATAGTCTCTTATGCACACACTCCCTTTCTCTCCTCTCTTACATATCTTACTCTGTTATAGTTGACTAATTTCAAATATTTCATGATGCCAACTAACAATTCAGACATTAGTTCCATTAAACTACAAAGGACAAACATAATTTTCCATTTTGCAGGTAAAAAAACAGATGGCTAAACCAAGAGTACATGGTTATGCTTTTGTCACAGCTTGACCTTAAAGCTTGACATTCTATGATGCAAATCACACAGGCCGTGTTCTGCAGCATGTCATGCAACAATGTGTTAAACGCAAAGGCTGATTTCAAAAATGAACAAGCAAATGGCAAAAAGCAAAGGATCACAAGATTAATTTCTTTCAACACATGATTCCTGCTTTTTTCTTCTTTGTTCTTTTAAATGAATGAGCAAGCAACGAGGCTTATGATGAAAAAAATGTATTTTCAATTTCCATGGAGTTCTAAAATGTCAGCCTCTGGGTTTAACCTAGCTCTCACCTGGGATGACTGATATTGTTTTCAATGCCCGGAGAACTCTGAATGTTCTCAATGCTGAGACATTACCCAGGTCCACAAACTCTGTCACATATCTGTAATAGGGGAGTTCACACACAAACACAATGACAGGATAAAAAGGAACAGTTGGACAGATACAAGGGACCTAACACCTTACACATTTACATCTTACCTGGAATTACAGAAATAGTTTTCAAAGCTCTCAATACTCTGAAAGTTCGAAGAGCTGAAACATTGCCTAGGTTTACAAATTCTGTTATATACCTGTAGAATTAAACCACAGTTATTCAGAATTGAGGTAGACTTCAGGGTACTTACTTGGGGACTTCATCAAGACCCCTTGGAAACTTTAGGGGAAAAATAAATATCAACATCTTCCATTAAGAGATTTTAACAACGATCAGTTTATACATTGGACAACATGTACCCAGCGACCTCAGTGTAAACATCTATGGATCTAACTAAACTAAATAGAAAAATATAAAGCAACAGATGCTATATTGGTCCATTAGAAAAACAAATGGTTTTATTTTGATCAACCCAAATGACACAACAAATGAACAAGCTATCATATTCTCCAAAATTATTCATTACGTCAGATATTAAAAAAATGAATGAGAAAGGATGATGGTCATCATCATCATCATCACCATCATAATCATCCCAATATTAGGTTAGACATTACAGCCTGTATGAATGTATCAGAATTAGGTTCAATCCATGCCAGGTTTTACCTAACATTTTAAGAAAAGGCAAATGATTGCCTCCCCACAGCTCTAAAATCACAAAGACATCAGTCTTTAATCTGTTTTTTACTACTATTGAAGCTCAAGGGCTTGTGCCCCTTGGCAGAGAAAAGAAAAATAGTTCAGCCATTCTTACATCCAGAAATTTAATTCATGATCTTGAGTGCTTGAAAAAATAGTTTTTTTTTTCTGTTAGATTTTAGAAAGGCAAAATATATAGTTTCTGAAAGAGCTTCTTGGACAGCAAATCTATTAATGTACCATGCATTCTACACTACTAGTTGCTGTACCAGTTACTTTACTATATGAACGTATTTATATGGTTTCACAAAGAAAAGAATACTATTATTCCCCTCAAATCAAACAAGCAAGGAAAAAAATAGCAATAATTGTGTATATATTGTAATTACAAATAACAACAATGACAAAAGAATATATTATCTGCTCTGCTTTATTTCCCTCAGCAAAAAATAAATTAGTTCAATAGCTGGATTTACTAATACTATTGAAAATGTATTGGTCATAAAATTGTTTTTATCCTTGATTGATTAAAACACATTTTAATTACAATAGTCTCTGTGCTCCTGTATATTATGTTGGAGTACATACGCTGATATTAATATATGTCAATAAAAAGAGGGTGGGAGAAAAAGGAATGGAAAACTTACGCAAATGTAATGACAGTAAAATCAAGCCAGTTCCAAGGATCTCGGAGGAAAGTGAAACCATCTATACAAAAGCCCCTTGCAACTATTTTTATAAGGGATTCAAAGGTATATATTCCTGTGAATGTATATCTGATAAAAACAAAACAACATATTAACTCTTAATGCAAATGGTTTTTAAATACTCAAATAAGTCAGAATTGCCATCCTAGATCTTACCAAGTCCCCACTTTGAGGGTGATATGGGGACTTCTTCCTGTATCAATGAAGAAATCAAAAGCACCCATAGAAAAAAGCCCATGCTTTATTCTTTACTTCTCCAACATTAAGGCAACACATGTGTGGGAAGAAACCAAATTATACGCTATCAGAAGATGGTCCTGTGCATTGCATGCAATTGCATAAAAAAAGAAGCCTTGCTGATTCTTCCTGCATGCAGAGACTTACAGTATAAGAAGAGGCCTGGCTCCACTCAAAATTTACATGATATAAAGGTAGTAAGCCCTTTCTTTACTGATACTCACAAATGTACCGTTTTTGAACATGAAAATAATGCTAATCCTCCATAAATCAGTCTGAACTCTCTACCCTACATCATCTTGTGAGGCTAAAGAATACATTGTGGGAAGAGTTTGTGAAGTATAACGGGGAAGATTTTGGAATGGAAAGTGATCAATCAGTTGGATGCATGCAGATTTTTGCTTATTGAAGTTCATTAGATCACAGCTATGCTATAGGTGCATTGTATATGAGCATGCATATGTGCTTATTCTGTTAGATCTTCTACATCCCACAAAAACACATTCAAACATGCAATTAAGAATAATATTCCACTTACTCTACATTCTTTGTCCAATCAGGGGGGTTACTTAGGGTCATAAATACGCAGTTGGTCAAAATAGTGCACATAATGAGCATGCTGAATAATGTGAGTTATATTATTAAGGAACATATAAGTAATGTTTTTTACAATGATAAATAAATACGTCTTAATAGATTGTTCTGTTTTAATTAAATATATATGTCCCATAATATAGTTATAATTAAATATACAATGTATATATATTTCTAAAGATTTAGGATTATATCATATGTAAGTAAAATAAAAGCAGTTGAAATAAAGAAAGTTCCATTTTATTCCACAACAAACCTCTGAATATTTGTTTTGATTTCATTTTTAGAAATAGGCAAAAGGTATCATTAGTAAACTGATGCAGGTGGAATAAAGAATCGGTAACTAAACTGGATACAAAAAAACCCATCATAATATATACAGTAAAAGGTATATATAATAACACTTTCCAAAATCAATAAATTTAAAATTATACACAGTTTTGCCAGCAAATCTAGAGGACAACACAAGAGCCAACAGATGGAAGAGGTCAATTTCAGTCTATACAGTATGTGAATACCAAAGAAACAATGCAAACCTTTGCACAATATCTGTTACTTCACATTCTAAGAAAATAAGATCTTCCAAACACAGATTAGAGTCCTATATGGAAAGGAGGATGCCAGATGTTCAAGCTGGTTTAGAAAAGGCTGAGGAATAAGGGACATTATTGCTGACACTTAATGGATAATTGAGAAAGCCAAAGAATACCAGAAAAAAGCCAGTACGTGCTTCACTGGTTATAGAAAGATCTTCAATTGTGTTGATTGTGTCAAGCTATGGAATATGCTAGGAAAATGGAAATCCCACAAGATCTCATCTATCAACCATTTAAAGAACCAACATTCAAGAAACATGCTACAGTCTGTGTAGAAACACAATGAAGGCCTTGGAAGAAATATTCTGTGTTGTGTCATGTCTATACCTACAAGGATCAGAACTGTGCAGGCAGTATTACTCCCTGTGATACTTTATGGAAGCAAAGGTTGGACTTTGAAGATGTAGGATAAAAAGAATATTGATGCTTTTGAAGTTTGGTGTTGGAGAAGATTCCTGTGAATACATGGATAGCCAAGAAAACCATCAAATGGATCATTGAACAAATCACTCCAGGCACAAATGATCAGGCTCAAATTACAACCAATCTTTGGATATATTAGGGAAAGACCCAACTCCTCTGAGAAGTTTATAATACTGTACAAATTAGAAGAAAGGAAGAGGATGACCACTAGCAAGGTATAGATAGATTTAATTACATCAACAATTTGTGCATCACTAGGAACTTTGGATCACCATATTGAGGACAGATCATCCTGGAGAAGTTCTATCTACTTTATGTGGTTGCAAGAGTCGACATCACACTGATGGCACATAATCAATTAATTTTCAACTAATGATTTTAATAGCAATGCATTTTGAAGAAAGAGCTATGATACATACATACTTATTCTTATGCATTATTTGCAGCTTCACCATCTGAATACTTTTGTTTACAACTGGGGAGGAATGCAGATCTCCTCCAGAAAAGAAAAAGAAGTCCTGATATTTAGATTTTCTGGTTTAAGCCAAAATGTAACTACTAATAAATTTAATATTAAAACATTACCATTTACTTATTATACTGCACTATCCTGGTTAAATAGTAGCACTAGAAACTTTGGATTTGCACTGAAATGCTAATATCCAGTGTGGAAGAAGTCCTAACTGCATTTCCAACCCCTGTTTTGCCTTAGCAATGAAACCCAGTCAGGATTCTGTTCACATAAGAAACAATATAGAGAATACAGAAAGCTGCCTTTGGTGCCAGTTATTGACAGCAGAAGATCTCCCTGTTGGGATAGGCTTGGGTGTATACAGAAGTGATGATGTGTGTTTAGCAGTCTGGGATAAAGGATTTAACCAACTTCCAAACTGACTCACTAACAGGCTGGTGAAGCAGTGATGCACTGCATGGGTAATCTACAACTAAGCTATTTCTTAAGACAAGTCTACCAGAATTCTAAATCCCCCTGTATCCTAATTTCATCACCTACAATGAAATGAAATCAAGTACCAGAGATATATATCATGCCAGCAGAAGGTGGAAAATTTCACTTTTAACTCAATCAAGATGGGCAGAGGTTGCCCTTGTAGTGTGCAAGGGTGGTTTCACCCATCCTCAATAAATAGTTGCAGGGTGTTTTTGCCTTGGAGTAAGCAGAACATGTAGATGAGCCTCTAGTGCATTTTATAATGCAAAAAACATTTGTACTCAGTTCTATATAATATGTTGTGCCTGATGATATTCTATTATTTTTATCTAGCTGATAAATGTTAATACTGGGCTATATATGTATGACAAAATTGTCCAGTAAACTTGAAAAATATCAGTTTCTGGCCAGTACCATTCATATCATTTAGACATTGAAAACATAAAGTTGAATATACCATTACAATACAGAAAACTTTGGAATTTCTTATTTATATCATATGCAAAGAACTAGAATATTTAAGTATCATGTTCAATAATTTCTTTATCAGCTTTTTTCAAACAGCCATCCTGTAAAGATGTTTAACATCCAGTTTCTAGAAAAATATCCCCAGAAATAATGACTTATTATCTGACTTTATAATACAATCTATATTTAGTGAAAAAAATATAGCAACATATATAGGTAGTCCTCGACTTATGACTACAATGGAGCCCAAGATTTATGTTGCTAAAGAGACATTTGTTAAGTAGGTTTTGCCCCATTCTATTACCTTTTTTTGCCACAGTTGTTAAGTGAATCATTGCAGTTGTTAAGTTAGTAACAAGGTTGTTAAGTGAATCTGGCTTCCCCATTGATTTTGCTTGTCAGAAGGTTGTAAAGATGATCACATGACCCCAGGACACTGCAACCATCATAAATATGAACTAGTTGCTAAACATCTGAATTTTGATCATGTGACCCTGGGGAGTCTGCAATGGTTGTATATGTGAAAAATGGTCATAAGTCACTTTTGTCAGTGCTGTTGTAATTTCAAATGGTCACTAAACAAAATACTGTAAGTCGAGGACTACATGTATATATGACAATGGTTTGATGCAATCTATTCCAGTTTACCATTGATAATTTATAAAGGACAATTTTTAAGAACTAAGAACTTAATATATATAGATAATTTAGATTGTGATTATGTAATAACTTACCTTAGGAATCTATGGAATCCATTGAACTTACTACAAAGTAAACCTGTACAAGGACTACTGAGAACTTTTCAAAAACTCTTGACTTTGCTTGAAGTCCATCAAAGAATTGGGAGCTTAAACTTAATAGCTAAATGAGCATTCTTGAAAATTCCTGGCATAAGAAAACACTCAATTCTGAAAATGTTTTCACACTGCTGGCCAGTACTTCATAGCAGGGAATTGCATAAAGACAAGTGAAAGCAGGCATATCTTTCCATGGTGGGACCACCAGTGCTCACTCCCAGAATGCACCTGGCTCTTGAGGCCATTTGCTTATTTGAGTATTCTGTGGACATTTAGCTGAGCATTTCCATGAATTTTAGATATTCATTTTACATTTAAATAGTTTGCAACAACTTTCTTTTCAACCTAATAAACATTATAGAAATAAGAAATGAAACAAGTTACAGTAATAAATTGTTATCTTGAGAAAAGTATTTGTTACCAACCATTTGAAAAGGATATGAATGTACCAAAATCTTAATAGCTATTTTTCTAAGAGGGTTGAAAGGAGTTAAAATGTATAGGGCAGGGGTGGCACTGAATCGGAAAATTGCCTTCCCTCTATTCAATACTATAAAAGTCTGGAAGAAAAAAAGAAAAAGTAAAAGCAAATTAAACATATGCAATGTTGTATTAATTTTTCTGTGTTTGCTTTTTCCAAGAAAACCCTGAACCAATCCTTGAACTAACCTTTGTAGTAAAAAGACTTATTATTTACTATATAAACAATATAGCATTTGCCACGGCACGGAAACATAATGTCAAAGGGTAAGTGAGTTGGAAGGAACGTGAGCCCCTTCCACAAAACCATCCCCTCTTCTCCCCCTCCTGCCTTCTGAGCCGCCAACCTCAAAAGGTTGGGGACCCCTGATCTAGTCCAACCCTGCTGCCTCCATTTGAAAAGTTCTAGGTCAGAGGTGCCCAAAAGGGACCAATTCCGTGGGGAAAGGTTTTTCCACGGACCAGAGAGTGCATGGTTTTGTGTGCTGCCTGCATCCCACAGATGGGGCTTTGCTTGTTTGTGTGGACTGGTTGTTGGCATGCTGCGGCCCGGTACCGGTCCACGGACGGGGGTTGGGGACCCCTGTTCTAGGTAAACCATTGCTTAAAAGCAGTTATTGTGAGGAAGCTCCTTCTAATATTCAGAGTCAACCTTCATTCACTTAATTCCAATTCATTGTCCTGGCCTAACTTTCAACAAAGTATAGGCCATTCCTTCTACTGCTGTCTTTTCCCCACCAAAGTCTTCTATTGCAACTTTTAACCTTTTCTCAAGCTTTAACGTTCACATTCTTTCTCATCTTAGTAGTTTCCTTGAACTCTCTCTGGCTTCTTTAATACGTGGTTACTTTTTACAGTAGGATGCCCAGAATTGAACACAATACTCAATTGTTCTTCACAATGCAGAGGTCTATGGAATTATGATCTGCCATGATTTGGATATAATGCTTCTGACAATCCAACCCATTAACATTTTTAGCTCATATTCACACTCTATAGTGGTTCATTAGCATTCTAAAATCCTCTTTCTGTGTACTGTCACAAAACAAAGTCTTCCCAATTTATGCATTTGAGTTTTCCTATCTATATAGGACTTTATTTCTCACAGCTGAATCTCATGCAGTTTGAACTAATCTTGCTTAAACTTGCCAAGTTTATTTTGAATTATCAAGTTCTCCTTTTAATGTTTAGTATTCCTCCTAGATTTGCAAATTGGCATTTTCTTCCATCTCATTCTCAGAATCATTTTAAAAAATACTGAATAGCACAAAGCCAAACTGGAGGTCTGAAAAATCCTACTTAATCTTTCTTTTCAGGTCAATGCAGAACTTTTACAAGAACTATTTAAGTAGTTGTTCAACTAGTTGCAAATTCACTGGATTGCAATAATCTCTTGCTCACATTTATTCATTTTATCCACAACAATATCATGCAACAATATGCAATATCATGACTACCAATTAACTTCAATTAAAATACACAGTGTTCCTTTTATTCACCAAACTAGTCGTTCCATTGGAGTACAGTTACTGACCTTATAACTTTACACAAACCCATACTGGCTCTTGGTAATGATAGTATTTGTTTCTGAGTGTCTGTAGACTATTCCATGTCAATCTATCTTTATTGATTCCTACACCAAGTTCCAAATTCACTTTTGAGTCAGCTTCTCTAGTTCCTTCCTTGATGGCCTTCGGTCAGCAGGCAAAACCTACTTTCTTTAGACAGACATTTAAGCTTCTTGCATTGATTATCAATTGTTCTTTGTTTAATTTTAGCAGTCTCTTGCTTTTATTTGGTCTTTGTGGGAAGTAATTTGTTTCTGGATAAAGTATTTTTATATATTTTAAATTTATGTTTAACAGCTATTAGACTCTTAGAGGGATATAGATGTAAACAACTACATAAACTTCACCTTTATATAAATAGCTTCAACATTTTAGGAATTGATTTAATGTGAAGATTTTACTTTTTAAAGGTTTACCTGGCTGTGTTACTCAAAATATAAAAAAGCAGCAGCCTCTAGTGCAGTAAACACATGGTTATTTTATGAGGAATTATATTGAAATAATGTAGTATCAAAAACCCATGGGGCACAGCCAATCTGGATTGGTCACCAGGATCAGAGGTTTGGTCTTCTGAGCTTACAGACTTTTGCTACAGGCCCATCTTCAGGCAACTTCTATCTCACCAGAATGTGAGAGAGAACAGTGGTAGTCTGTTTTCTGTAAACTAAGCCATGGATCTCTGGTGCTAAAAGTTTGTATCCAAACAATAAACTCTATGTGAGCTTCCAAAATTGAGAACCAAAGCATATGAAAGACATGTTCTTTATACAGAATAACTATTATCAGTAAATAATTTAGCTAAGTGGCCAAAAGAATCATAAAAATTGGATATTTTGAAAGTATGGTATGATCTGCATTAGGAGCAATGTATAGAATTAAATGGGGGCAGGTGGGTCAAGTGAAAGTCGCATCAAGAGATGGCCTCAACTTACATATACTTTAAGAATATGGATAAAAGTTAAGGTACGATGCAATGTACTGTATGTGACATTGCTGCACATTGCATCTAAAATAAACCCAGGTCAAGAGTTCACTTTTAATCCAAACTCATCTCCAAATAATTGGCACTTATATAAATGCCACCAGGGGTAGTTAATACTGGAAAATTCTAGATCAGATGAGCTTCCAGTCAAAGTATATCCCTTTCCTGATGGCCCTTGACTATCCCCACACCCATTTTTTGTGGCTGCTCAGCAAATATCCTCTCTTTCCTCTTCATGAGCCAATGAGCTCTCCTTTGACTGGAAGCCCCCAAAAAATCAACCACTCAGTTCCTATTTCCTTTTCCAGTTTTGTTTGATCCAGGGGACCCTAAAACCCAATGCTTCTCATTCTTGTCAGGGGTGAGCTGAAGCCTTTCTTTTTCATCCAGATTCCCACATAGCAATAGTAACAGCACTTAGACATACTGTATAAACTGCTTCACAGTCCTCTACAGTGCTTTAAGCGGTTTACAGGGTCAGCATATTGCCCCCAACAATCTGGTTCTTCATTTTATCGACCTCAGAAGGATGAAAGGCTGAGTTAACTTTGAGCTGGTGAGAATTAAATTCCTGGCAGTGGACAAAGTCAGCCTGCAATACAGGTAGTCCTCGACTTACGACCACAATTGAGCCCAAAATTTCTGGTGCTAAATGAGACATTTGTTAAGTGAGTTTTGCCCCATTTTACAACGTTACTGGTAACAATTGTTAAGTGAATCACTGCAGTTGTTAAAGTTAGCAATATGATTGTAAAGTGAATCCAGCTTCCCCATTGACTTTGCTTGTCAGAAGGTCGCAAAAGGTGATCACATGACTCCGGGACCCTACCACCGTCATAAGTATAAGCCAATTGCCAAGCGTCTGAATTTTGATTACGTGACCACGGGGATGCTGCAATGGTCTTAAGTGTGAGAAATGGTCATAAGTTACTTTTTTCAGTGTCGTTGTAACTTTGAACGGTCACTAAATGAACTGTTGTAAATCAAGGACTACCTGTACTGCATTCTAACCACTCCGACACCACAGCTCCAGACACTGCTCCAGACACTAAGACAGATCCTATGCATCCTCCAGACACTGAGAGAGAACCTACACAGGAGCACTTGTTGGCCTGAGGCAAAGATGTAGATGCTCTGGTTTCATGTAGAAATTAAACAGGAGGGAGAAGCACATGAAGTCCTATGTTAATCCACAGAGAAGAGGCGGTAGAATAGATCTCTCCTCCTCCGTACATACCAACTGAACTAATCCTGAAGGAAAGAGGAGAACCAGCATATAACTGTGCCTCTCATTCTTATCCCCTGAAGTCAGTCCAGACAGATACCATGGTCAATGATATCAAACACTGCTGAGAGATAAGAGTAAGGATGGATGCACTTCTCCCATCCCACTTCTGCAAGAGATCATTCCAAGCGAATGATGCCATTTCAGACCCATTTCAGATCTGAAACCCGACTGAAACTTTCAGATAATCCAGATAGGTCAAAAGTTATCTAAAATGGTTGGATCTAGCAATGGCATCTTGATGAGAGGATAAGATGTTCCCTCTTTCAGTAACAGTAGGACCACACCCACTCTCAAGGATGAATTCACTACCTTTGGTATGCAACTGCATATTGTCTCCCTGGAAAATTTAGCTAATCAGGAGGAACATGGATTCAATACGTAAGTGGCCATGGTAACAATTCCCTGACCTTGGCCTCTCTACAGGACCTGCCTCAAGTCAGAAGTCTAACCTGGAGTATATCTGACCTTATCTGACAGAAGCTTCATATATTCCTAAGAAAAACTTCAATTATTCTAAACAGGAATGATGGGCAGTTATCTGTAAATTCAATAAGGGTGGGAAAATATTGATGTTTTGCTGCCCTTAATATCATACGTTAGGTGTAGTGAGTACTGTCTAGTGGCTCTAACTCATGCTTGGTTGGGTTCACCCCTTATTCTCTGGTTCTCTAGGCATATATTCTCACACTTCATCTTTCTTAGCTTCTCAGTAATCCAAGGGCAGCTTTTGGGATCCTCAAAAGGAGAGAGCTGTGATCCAAAGCCCCAATAGACTTCTCATTCCAAGCAGCAACTATGGGTTGGGCCGAACTGTGCACCAGACTTCAAACTCACCCCCCAAACTCCCCTGAAATCCAGTAGGGTCTATTAGTTGTCTAGGATGGACCAATCAAATAGAGGAATCAATCCGAAAGTGCTCTGAAAACGATAAGGGAGTGAAGGTGATCTCCTCCAGTATCACACTACCTGTGTGACACAAAAAACATGTGACATGGCTGTGACACAAAAAAACAGATCTGGCACACAATCATCACTGCATTTTAGGCTTTTAATGACCTAGGTCAGCTGTATGATTAACATGGTGATCATGAATTCCCAAGCTATCTCAGACTCCAGCTCCAGGGAAGGAAAATTAAAGTTCCCTAGACTATAAGCCTGGGGAACTACACCACCAGCGCAGCCAATGGGCTCGGGCAGGGAGGCTACAACATTGCAGGGAGGCTGGTACAAGAACAACAATCCCATCTAATAGCAATAGCACTTAGACTTATATACTGCTTCACAGTGCTTCACAGCCCTATCTAAGCGATTTACAGAGTCAGCATATTCCCCCAACAATCTGGGTCCTCATTTTGCCAACCTTGGAAGGATGCAAGGCTGAATCAATCTTCAGCTGCTCAGAATCGAACTCCTTGAGGGAACAGTGAGTTAGCCTGCAGTGCTGCACCACTACATTCTAACCACTGCACCACCACGGCTCTAATGCCTGCAGTCCAAATTAACAACAAGATTTTGTATCTATTTATCTGTAGAGCAGCACCTCTTGGAATAACCCAAATGACCAGAGCTTATCCACCAGCACTGTCCTAAGGGTGAAGTACATTTCAGAGAGGGGATCTGCCCCAGATGCTCAGCCAGCTCTCAGTTAAGCACACCTAGTTGTTCTCTCATCCATGATCACAGATGAAAAAGGCCTTAGTACAAGCTGCTACTGAATGCCAGGTTGTTACTCTAGCAACTTTCTGTGTCAATCTCAGAACAGCACAGTAATCATCTTGCAGAAAGGACCAACTTCATTTATAAATAATCTACTATAAAACAGATTATAATTTTTGGACTCGTCTTCTAACATTACTCACACATTGTGATCTGTCTTTTAATTTTTCTTAGTCATCTTTGAAATATTCATTTTTAGTGATTTGTTAGGATCACTTTCCTATGCAGCACAAATAAAAAGTTATGCAGTATAACAGTTCTTCATATCCAAAAGTACAGATGTGTAGAGCTCTCAAAGGGAACCTTGTGCAAACTGTAGATTGTATATTGGCCAGAAAATCTGAAAGGGTGGCTATCCTACCCTCAATAGGAGAGAAAGAGGCAAGACAAATGATAATGTGAAATACTCACTTTTGTATTAACATAAAATGGATCCAGGTCTTCCAAGGGAGTAGCGACCATTCCAGGAGGGATGTCACCATAAATAAATGGCAGTGATTTGCCAGCCTCCAAGTCACTACTTGGTTTTGGCCCATTTTCGTCATTGTCTTTATGGTCTTGTTTGGACTGCTTGGCTTTTTCTGCAGCAATGCGTTGTTCGATAGCTGCAAGAGACTCTCTAGTGAAGTAGTGAAAGCTGTCCGGACCTGGTGGTACAAGCACTGGCTGCTCCATCTTGTCATCCTGCACATTTTAATTACTAGTTATTCTCTTGCATAAGGAAGTACTGAAGAAAAGAGAAAAACAAGAAAGATTAAAAACCGGATGTGACTAAGGAGTGAATCAATAAAAAACCCATCAATTCTTTATTAATATATGAAAAAAATAATTACATCTTTAGAGTAACAAAATGAAGACTTTAAATATTTACCTATTTACTTTTGATGGGAATTCTTATGGGCTGATAAGATTGTTAGCTGGTTTCCCCCCCCCTTCTTGGCAAACCTCTGTAGTTTTAATGGTGACCTAGCCAGTCAAAATTGATCAGAAAACATTTTTGTTGGCATGAAGGTTCAGGGACAGGAAGACATTATTTGCTGAATCTGTTTGACATGGAGCTGTCAAACAATACTAGGACTCTACCATGAGGCTTTTTAGAAGGCATTGGGGGGGGGATTTCCTAAAGGCAGTGGACAGTAGATATGAGCCTAGTCGCTTCTTGACTGTGCTTCTATCAAAGGGGCATTCTACAAGCTGAACATTTTTAAAACTGCAAGCAACGTGAAGGATTGTACTATCTGAGGATATTCAAATATGCTTTCACTGCAATCAGTATTTTATTAATTATAAAACACGAGAAAGTTATTCTAATATAGAAACCCAAAGGAAAGGACTAGTTAATTAAACCACAATTGTTAATTACAAAAAGGTTTCATTCAGCATTTTCTCCGTGCATTTATTTTGAGCAAGATTCATCTCAGATTTTCAGAATCAGGTCAGAAAGGGGGTGGGGGGGTGGGGGGTAGAAAATCCACTGGATGTTATATTCTCTATCTGAAGCTGTCATAAAAATATCAAGTTGATATATGGGAAAGAGCAGTCTGCAAGCAGGTGGTTTTATTTCTTTTAATGGATCTAATATACTATTTTGGAAATGTGCCTAAAAAGAATGTAACATATTACCATAAATACAGCATGTGGCCAAAGGTCAGTAAAGCCATGAGGTATGTGTGGAAGATAATAACTGATGGGAAGGACTAGCTTGCTCCACATCTTTTATGCTGGTGAATGGTTTCTTTAGTTTTGCAGATTTCAGAGGCTTAGTGGGTAGAAAGCAAAGATCTCCCCACCTCTAGAGAATAAAATTCTGTGACTGCTGTCTCATCATTGGCAGTCTGCCTTGAAGCAGGCTTGTGATTATTAGTGCCAGAGCACTTAGCCAGAAAAAGAAAAAATGAGGAATAGCAGAGAAGCACAAAATTGAACCTGGTCAGAAGAAAGGCTAGAGTTGAGAAAAGATACTGAAAGAGGCACATGAGCCCCAGAAGTAAATACATTCATTAAAAAAGCAAAACAGAAGGCAAAGCAGAGTAACAAGAGAAGGAAGAAGGAGTGGGTGGAGAAGGAGGAGGAAAAGGAAAATAAAGTAAAAAAAAAAACACCTTTTACAATTATGTAAGAGGAATAATTTTATTGATCTGATCTCTCTTTCAGTTGCCAGTATTTGGAGGCAAAGGAGAAAAAAACCCTTAATGGAAGCGGGAAAAGCCCTACGCTGCAAAAACAGCTAATGGATCCTTAATGCACTTGCAGAATAAATAAGGACTGGGTTTCAGAGGTCTCCCTTGACCGCATCTGTTAAATGGATGCATTTCAGTATAGCTCCAATTTAACATCTGAATACAGTAAACATTTAAAGGAGTATGAGGAATATTTCATTTAAATCACAATTTCATTTTTTTCAAATATTGTAACTATGAACCAATAAAGTATTAAATATAATCACAGTGGTCTGGAATGCCATGTATATTTTTTCACAGAACTGTAATAATTGATGGTTCTGTTTAATTGGCGATGTTTTGCATTGCCCTGTACATTTATTAATTAATGTCATTTTCAGCCTTCATACACAGAGCCTGCATTTGTTTCAGCATGGGACATACTATTATGAATGGAGCAAAGGTTGGATAATTAACTACAATATTGTAGTTTGATTTGATTTGATTTGTTTTACAAATCAAACCAACTAAGCAGAGGCATTCTGTAGAATAATTCTGTAATTTTGCAAACATTCCCTGGTAATGATACTAAAATAGTCGCCCCATATTTCTTAATGAACATTAAGTTATTAAAATATATTATTTTGTGGTTATTAATATCATTACTATTATTATAAATAATTTAAGAGTTCAGTTCATTATCAGATGATGAAAAATCCTAACTCTTAATTCTTGCTATTATATGAAAGGCTCACTTGGAACTTTTACTGGACAAATGAGTTATGTGTTCCCATTACCATGCAATTTGTTGCAGTCAGTCAGTGTTATAAAGCAAAATTGTGCAGTTGTTGATCCTGACCACATTCTCCAAAGGAATTAGCAGGGCCTTTAATCATAGTATGAACACACCTTGGCCACCTCCTGTTTGTTTGTTTGTTTAGCATCCCAATGATGTATTTTTGGGGGAGACAGTTTAAGTCATCCTGACATATTCCAGGTTTGATCCACTTTGACTCATGCAGCAAAACAAGGGAGATGGTACAGTCATCTGTTAAGACTCTCTCTCTCTCTCTCTCTCTCTCTCTCTCTCTCACACACACACACACACACACACAAAGCCCCATTCCAGCCTCATTGCACTAATTTCCACACAATTTCCTGCCAGCTGATAGCATCTAGAGAGCAGGAAAGCAGCACCCAGAGGATTTTATCAATTGCTTTGTTTAATATGTCCTGCATGAAGCAAAAACAAGACGTCACCATTCAGTAGCAAAACAAATGGTGAACAATACTAGCCGAATATAACTAGCAATGGAAAAGCAAATTTTGTGCCAGTGTACTTTTCTGCTAGAACAAGACCTGGTCCTTTTAACTTGGCAGTAAAGAAAGGCTTGTAGAAATGTCCAGCCCATACAGCTGTGCAAGACTAAAACTTCTGGCAGGTTTCTTGATGGTTTGTTTGAGGTCAACGTCAAATCTTGGAAATGGCAACAGGAATTCCCACCTCGTTTTTAATGAGTTAATTAAGGTGATGTTTCTTGGAATATTTTGAGATGCTTTATTCTAGATTTCTCCCATGGGGGCTAAACTATTGTCTGCAAGGTAAACTACCTACCAACTCATCTGCTATTTCTTCTTCTCGTTTCTTAATATCCAAATAACCCAATATCAAGATGGAAGTGAGCTCTAACTGAAATGGTAATATTGAAAATCTTAGAACAGTAATCTTGTCAAGTTCTGGGATAAGAACAAAAGCAGTACAGAGTTTATCACCCTCCAAACCCGTTGATGTTGAAGGAACCAAAAGTGGGGCTTGCCTGTTTACTGTAAACCAGCCACTTCCATTTTGATTCTCACCAATTTGTTGGACTTCAATTCCAACTCCAGGGATTATGGAATTCCCAGTGTTTCAACAAAACACAGGAGGATTGAAATTATTTTTTCCATCCTCTTAAATACCCAAAGTTAATATGGCTATTGATTATTCAAACCCTTTAACAATTCCACCAATTTTGCCTTGCCTTGCCTTGTAATAAACTATAGAGGAGCTAGAGAGCAATTATGGCAGAATTAGGTAAGGAAGGAGCACAGAATTTAGCTTTATGAATAACTGAGAATTTGAACCTGAAGGAAAAAAGATTGTTCCCAACATGACCTTCGTCCCCATGTATTTATTTATATATACTTATATTTTCCTTTAAATGATCCCAGGGTAAATGTAGTAAACTTTATTTTTCTGAAGTATAAGTATACAAGTTTATGTTGTTCATTTTGAGAGCAAGCAACTAAATTTCATTTTTAATGTGTGCCAATGTGCCCACAGTAAAAAAATGAAAATAAAGGTTATCTATCTATCTATCTATCCATCCATCCATCCATCCATCCATCCATCCATCCATCCATCCATCTTTCCTAAGTCTTGAAGTTCACTTTCTGATGGTATCTTATTAAGTCTACATTTTTTTCTTCTTCAAAGAAAAATCTGAGGGGCAGATGTTTCAAACATGACGTAGGATTTTATTTTATTTTGAATTTGTCATTGCCATGCCACATTTGAATAAAAATCTTGGTCTTCTCAAACATTTTAACTCAAGGAGGAAAACTTTGGAACAAATAGAAACTTTCTTCAGAAGTAAATAGCACTTTTAGTGCCCCCCTCCCATAGTACTAAAATACAGAACAGTATCTTACATTAAGCAATATTGTATTCCAGTCTCATTTGGGTTTCCTGCATTTGTTATTTAGATTTTTTTTAATTTGAAAAAGTAGTCATATTAATGGCAACTGAACATCTGATTTTAGCTGCTCTTCTGTTTTAGACTGGAAGTCCTTGATAGTACAGACCTATCTCTTTTCTCTATGTAGTTAGGTAAGTTTAAATTAAGTAGTAAAAACTTCCAAGCAGAGCAATGGACTGGTGCCATTTATTATTTTTACTTTTTCATAAAGCTTCTGAGTCCTATATGTGGATCTGAGATATTCCTGGAAATAAGGATGAGGCTGAAGGTTGACTCTTTATAGTAATAATGTTTTTTAAAGGAAACCATTAAATGGGAAATTGGCATGCTATAAAATAAGAAGCAATCTCTCATTCTCTTTCCCTCCCTCACTCAGTTTAAAATTTTAAAAAATGAAGTGGGGCAGGGAACCAAGGGGACATCTAAGTGGCATCACACTGGACTAGCTGTTATGTTTTTGAATTAGAATAGAATAGAGCTGGAAGGGACCTTGGAGGTCTTCTAGTCCAGCCCCCTGCTTGAGCAGCAGAACCTATACCATTTCAGAAAAGTGACTGTCTAGTCCAGTGATGGCGAACCTTTTAGAAACCGAGTGCCCAAACTGCAACCCAAAACCCACTTATATATCATTGAGTACTGGGTGGGCGTGGCTCATTGGATGTGGCCAATTGGGTGGGTGTGGCTGCAGTGGTAACGGCAGACTGGATGGGACTAAAAAATTCAATCAATCAATCAATTCCAACTTTCCGAGATCTTTTTTTTCCTGTAACAAGTTGAAATTGATTGATTGAACCTTTTTTTTTTTTTGCACACGGCAGCGGAGGCCTAAA